CTGCTATACACTCCGTTAACACTTCGTCTTCGCAAGCCATTCACATCGATATCTTCAGCGTTGAACATTGCCGCCACATTACCGAGAATATCTGCCGGATCGTGCGCTTCATCGTTGGTAGCCGTCATCAAACTATCATCAGTATGCATGACTGTAAAAACTTAACGATTAGAAAATAAATAATACCCCTAGTTCCAAGGCACTTTGACAGTGTCAAAATAGTCGCATGCAACTATCCGTTCCTTCTAACGAACGATACGATACTTATTACATGAAAACGAGCACGATTTCCGACAGCCCTCTCCATAAACTAACCATTATTGTCAGACGCATCCAGCTCAGCTCTTAGTCGCTTCTTGGATGCAGCGAAAATTTGTGCCATTGTCTCAGCTATACCACCATCCTCTGTGTCGTCATCGTAGCCCTCCTCCAATGGACTACCACCGTCAGGTGAAGGCTCTCCAGTTGCTTCGTTTGTAGTAGCACGAATCGCTGCCAATAGCGCATCCGTACTCGAGTGACCCGTTAGGGCAGCTTCCAGACCGTGACTGAAAACAATAAAACATCACGATCAGTTGAAAAATATCAAATTGTTTCTGATCACTCGCAAGCCTAACAGGCGATTCATTCAGCAAGCTTCTACAAATATGTGGAAAACGTATGTAATGCTCCAACGACATAGAGTCTTCTTTTTTGGGGATGGATGACGCACAGAAAACTTCCTAGTTTTAAAGAAAGCAGAAGCGTTTTACAAGTTTGTGAAGAGACTTTTATCTGGAGTGTTTTTGAACAATCGAAAGAGAAAATGAACCTTGCAGGCCTCTTCCTTGGAACAATGGTAGCAGTTGCAGATGGAGCTGACTGTTGCTGTTGATTTACAGGAGGGGTGTGACGTTCACGACCATTACTTAACGCAGCTAAATTACGGAGTGGACTATCACCGCGAGGTTCGGTTGGCGGTGTCGATGTTCCAGATATGCCTCCTCCTTCCTGTTGCTGAGAACGCTGAAAGCACGCAACGTCAAACGAT